TTTTTTTTTTTTAAATGAAAATTTATACCATGAAATTGTCGAGTTCTGGATCAGCTCCTATTTGACTGCTGCTTCCGGCGCCTAAGCCTAAGGTGTGGTTCTCTCGCCTGATTTCTTCAAGAAGTGACACCTTCTCCGGTGGTGCACCAACCTACAAACACCCTCCAAAAATAATAAATGAATTAATAAATACAGAAACTTGATAGAATTTGTTATTATTATTTTTTATTTTTTTTATTTTTTTTTTTGCGGACAAGCTAATTTTAACCTACTATTTGGTGTCTAAAATGAAAGAGTTTCTTTTCCGTGTAATGACCTTTTGGCATTCAATGTATGCAGCGACTAAATCAGGATAACCAGGGTGTTTGGCTATCTGGATCTTGATCAGATCCGAGGTATTCTCTGAATCCGAGGCCATTTTTTCAAACTTAAGCCCCTGATCATTATCGTCATGATCATCACCACCACCACCACCACCATCATCAAACAGTGGACCACAGAACATAGAAGTGTTCCCTGTGCTTGTTACAATATGTTCGATCTGATCAACAGTACTGCCATAAAACCCTTCCATATCTCTCCCAAAATTACACCTTAGAGAGAGAAGCTTCGAATTAGACGAATTAACATCTACCCCATTATTACGTAGAACTCTCTAACAAGCAGTAAAATATGTTGTAAATAATGAAAAGGGATGAGTTTGTTTTTTTTTTCCACTGAGATAGAGAGAAACCACAGTAAACAAAAGTAGAAGATCAAGAAAGAAAGAGATAAGATGAAGAGAGAGAGAGAGAGAGAGAGAGGACTGAAAGTGAAACAGTACTAGATTTGACAAGAGCGAAAGGATTGAAGAGAAGCCTCGTATTCAGTCTCTTCAATTCTCTGCAACAATGTTGCAGTGTGTGACTTGACAATTAGCTGCTACTTTACGATAATATATTATTGACCTGAGACTGCAACTATAATGTATGGAACCACCTCACAAGTTTCAGAACCGTATATTTTGAATTTTCCATCTCGTGCATAATTCTTTTTTTTTTCTTTTTCATAAATATATTGTGCATGTGCATAGTACATTACTACCAGTGGTACTGTACCTTTTTCTTTCTCCTGTTCTTTTCACGCTAACTTGACCCGAACCCTCCAATGGGATAAAAAGGACACGAGGAACAAAGATGGTGTTCTCGTAGGGTTAAGATATTCGTATTTTGGATTTTTTATACGACTCTTCCTCAACTTTAGGCTTTGACAAATTGGTCCTTCAATTTTTAATTTTGACAATTCATCTTTTAAACTTTAAAATTTATTACAATATTAGTCAAATTCAAAATAAAGTTAAAAATTGGTACCGTTTCTTCTAGATGAATATTTAATGAGGCTAATTCTAGTCTTTGCAGTGAATTGGTCCCCCTATGTACACATCATAAGTGAAAAACTTTTTTAAATTGAGGAACTCTTAATTTTTCCTCCAAAACGGCTAATCTCTAATTTCAAAAAAAAAAAAAATTGCTCATGATGTCCACTAGGATCAATTCAAGGCACACAAATAACCAAATTAGTCTTATTAAACGTTCACGTGGAATAATCATTCAAACTTTTAACTTTGTTTTTAACCAACATTGCAACGAATTTCAAAGTTTAGAGAGTGAATTGTCAATATTAAAGTTTGAGGGATCAATTTTCCAAACTTATAAAATTGAGGGGGTGTCAGTACAAAAAAAAATTCATATTTTTCATGTCTCATTGAGAGTTCCCAATTTATTTTGACAACACAATTAATAATTTTTTTTTTTTTTACGAAGAAAGATGGTGCATGCCCTCGTATTATTATAAAAATCAATTTTTATTTTATGAATTATTAGCACCATTACGTTACGTTCTAAATTATAAGTATTGTAACACTTTGGTACCTCGACTTTTTGACAAATTATTTCCTCAGCTTTGTTTTTTTTTTTTTTTTTTTTGCCATGTTTGATGGCCATGACATAAAATTTGACAAATGATTTTTAAAATTTAGCAGAAATAATAGCATTTCTATAACATAATAGTTGAGAATTTCACATAAATAGTCACATTAGCCAGGTGCGACATGTTCTAACTTCTAATGGTACGTATTTAACAACAATAAAGAAAATATTTTGTACTTAATGTAATTCTTTCTTTTAAATTTTAAGTTGCAATGAACACCTAGTTACTGTAACACCCTGAAGAATTAATTGAGATTAATTAAGGTAACTGAGATTATTAGTGTGCCTAATCTGATTTAATTAATTGAGATTAAATAATTCCAAGGTATTTAAATTATTCACAGTAATTTATTTAATCCAGAAGTGTGTATGGGCGCATTTCTGGACTGTTATATTTTACACATGTCATTTTCTTTTATTTTTCTTTTCTTTTTTTTTTCTTTTTCCTTTCTTTTCTTTCCTTTTCTTTTTCTTTCCCGTGCGTCTCTCTCTCTCTCTCTCTCTCACACACTTCCGTGCTCTCTCTCTCCCTCTCTCTCTCTCTCATTTGTGTCTCAAATCAAAACCGGATTCGAACCAAGAGTGATTTCAAAGAGTTTAATAAACGTCAAGAGAAGGATTCGAGGTAAGATTACTGAAAGAACCTCTCTTGAATCTATGTTTTTC